GAGCACTTGAATGAGCTGTGAAGCTGCAAAAGAACACACACACACACACACACACACACACACACACACACAGAGTATCTGTTATTTATCTGTTAACGGTCCTGTCCCTCCTCTTTGTGCGCAGGGGTCTAGACACTCTGAGTAAGAAGGGAAAGACGTCTACCCTCGATCTGCCCATCGAATCAGTCAGTCTGAGTCTTGAGGATCTGATCGGATACTTCCAGCCGCCCGACGAACACCTAGAGCACGAGGACAAACAGAACCGCCTGCGAGCGCTCAAGAGCAGACAGAACCTCTTCCAGGAGGAGGTACGGATCACAGCGCAGCACAGAAACACCAGACACAGCGTGGGATTCCATTTCATTAGAATCAGAGCTGTCCTATAGAAGAAGCACAACTCAAGCCATGTGATTCACAATACACTGAACAAAAATCTGGTGTAGAATTAACTATGAAACGATTTTCACTCAGAAACTGCTAGTAAATATCACTAATAATTACAAATAAGTAACACACTGCAGTAAGCTCAACATTTTGATACAGAGAAACTGAAGTAGTATTATCTTTTAAACCATATTTCAATCATTTTTGCTTTATTTACAACTTCGAAAAATCATTTTTACAGTTTACAAAGAATCAGATAGCACTAGTACTAGTTTACTCCCGTCATTTCTCGTCAGATAATCTGAGCTGCTCCACATTCATTTTTATAGTGAGCTGTTTTTATTTCTCCTGAGAGTTTATAGAAGAAACATCTGAGACGATGTTGATATTTCAGCTGCATGCATGAGTTCGTGTGTGTGTGTGTGTGTGTGTGTGTGTGTGTGTAGGGAATGATCAACCTGGTGCTGGAGTGTATCGATCGTCTGCATGTGTACAGCAGTGCGGCTCATTTTGCAGACGTGGCCGGTAAAGAGGCTGGAGAATCCTGGAAGTCCATACTGAACTCCCTCTACGAGCTCCTGGGTATGATCCATATTCCAGCACTTTCCATCTGCACACATCAATAACCGGTGAAATCTGCTGACTGTGTCTCCAGGAGCTCCGATGCGTCTCGGACGAGTCCTGCTGCACGAGAGAGATGCACTGTGTTCACCATCACTCACTAGTGCACTGCTGACAGCAGTGTTTAGCAAAGTGCCCTACTGCTGTAACACATACTTCACATACTGTATACAGTGGGTACGGAAAGTATTCAGACCCCCTTAAATTTTTCACTCTTTGTTATATTGCAGCCATTTGCTAAAATCATTTAAGTTAATTTTTTTTCCTCATTAATGTACACACAGCAGCTGCAATATAACAAAGAGTGAAAAATTGAAGGGGGTCTGAATACTTTCCGTACCCACTGTATGTATACTGCATGCTGCTGTGATTCAGTAATAGTTCATCTGTTCCTCATGAACCTTTGAAGAGCTTCGTTCCTAATGAATCGTATTATTCCCATCGCATGATCATCTGTCTGTCTGTCTGTAGCTGCTCTGATCAGAGGAAACAGGAAGAATTGTGCTCAGTTTTCCGGCTCTCTGGATTGGCTGATCAGTCGTCTGGAGAGGCTGGAAGCGTCGTCTGGTATGTAGCGTTATTTATTGTGACGAGTGGATCGTTACGGTGTGCTGGTGTGATGATGTGTGAGTGTGTGTGTGTGTGTGTGTCCGCAGGGATTCTGGAGGTTCTGCACTGTGTTCTGGTGGAGAGTCCGGAAGCTCTAAACATCATTAAAGAGGGACACATCAAATCCATCATCTCACTGCTGGACAAACACGGACGCAACCACAAGGTGACTAAACTAGTGATGCTGTGAGCTGAATAATCATCAACCAGACTCTCTCTTTTGATCATGTGGTGCTTTAGCGGTTCACTTCATGTCTAGTTTTCATGGTTTACTCAGTTGGTTGTGTTTTTTATCTGTTCATGTTTAATACCGTCACCTTAATTCAGATCTTTGTTGATTATATGTCATTGTAATACTCAAAAAATGAATCATAGCACAGATTATTGTTACACATTTATTCAAATAGCTTAGAATCAGCATAGATCTGTCAAAAAACAATTCAATTTAATCAGTTAAAAAGTGAGCACGGTTTAAATATGACTATCTGAGGTTTAATAATTAGATTAGACCACAAATACTGTATATGATCCTGTTTATTTCAAACCAGTGCTATTAGTATTATTGAATATTTTGAATCAGATTTAATTTTTTTTAAATTGGATCGTTTTAAGTTTTATAAATGTTACTGTGTTTTTGTAATTTTTATTATACACACATATTTTTATATTTATATAATATTATATATATATATATATATATAAATTTTTTTTTTTTTTTTTTTTTTTTTTTGATGGAATAAGTCAACTTAAGTGTGTAAAAGTCACTTTCATGACTGTTTTTTAAAAGTACACCATGTAATAATGTCAAATTAACAGTGTTAAAATTACATTTTAAATCATTAAGTTTAATAATCTTTTTTCATGCATTTTGATGTGTTGAATAACATACTAACGCTCATGTAAAGTGCTCTGAAATAATTTGAACTCTACTGTTACAAATAATATTTTTTTTTTTTAAATATCTATAGTTTTTAAGTTGTAATGTTACGTTTGTTTATTTTAGTTTTAGTTATTTTAGTACTTAAACTATATGAAAATGAGAAATGTTGCTTTGTCAACTAGCTGAAATGAAAATATTTTTTTATGCTTTATTTCAACTTTCTTTCAAATAATGAGCGTTTTTATGGTTTTAGTTTTAGTTAACAATAATAAACTGTTTCAAACATATTTTATTTATTACTACCACTATTATAGAAGTATAATTTTTACTCATTTCATTTATGAATGACTGACAATTATTCATAACATTAAGTTATGAATTATATTATTTATGTTAAAAATTTGTTATCCAGCAAAGGATTGAAATGTTATATGCAGTTAAAATAGATACATATTAAATAAATAAATATTAGGCCTAAACATTTTTGTTTGAGTGATACTGCTCTAATTGAGAAAATCAGTGACATCTGCTGTTCGTTTAATGTGTATGTAATCAGTTGACAAGGATGTGAACTTTTAATTCAATTCACATTTATTTGTATAGCGCTTTTCACAATGCACATCAAAGCAGCTTCACAGAAAATGCATGTGTCTACATTACAAAGCAGAAGTGAATGTGTCCAAGTAATGTTCATTTCACAAATGAACAGTTCAAGGTAATAGAATCATACAGTTAGCTAACATTAATTAATTTCAGGGAGAAACTCATTAAAGCGATTTTTACAAGTGTGATCATAATGATTACAATATAGAGAAATTTTAGTTAACAATAATAAACTGTTTCAAACATATTTTATTTATTACTACCACTATTATAGAAGTATAATTTTTACTCATTTCATTTATGAATGACTGACAATTATTCATAACATTAAGTTATGAATTATATTATTTATGTTAAAAATTTGTTATCCAGCAAAGGATTGAAATGTTATATGCAGTTAAAATAGATACATATTAAATAAATAAATATTAGGCCTAAACATTTTTGTTTGAGTGATACTGCTCTAATTGAGAAAATCAGTGACATCTGCTGTTCGTTTAATGTGTATGTAATCAGTTGACAAGGATGTGAACTTTTAATTCAATTCACATTTATTTGTATAGCGCTTTTCACAATGCACATCAAAGCAGCTTCACAGAAAATGCATGTGTCTACATTACAAAGCAGAAGTGAATGTGTCCAAGTAATGTTCATTTCACAAATGAACAGTTCAAGGTAATAGAATCATACAGTTAGCTAACATTAATTAATTTTAGGCAAAAGCTCATTAAAGCGATTATTACAAGTGTGATCATAATGATTTCAATATAGAGAAATTTTGGCAGATGTGCATTTCGATTCAAGTTGGCATCATCTGGGGTCCTCGCAGGGGTCAGCATCATCTCTTCACAGGTGTGGGGTCATCTGAAGTCTTTCAGACAGCTTCTGGAGCTGCTGTAATCTCTAGTTACCTCGAGATGGGCATCCCGGGGTAGGAACAGAAAGGCAGATAGAAAATAATTAGCATAGCTGCTGTTCATTAAGTTTCAAGCAAAAAAGAAAAAAGGTTTCAGATGATGGTTTTTATATTTGTATATGTGAAGGTGTGTATTATAGGTCATCATGTATGTGTTTGAGTAAGCTGATGATTGGCTCGTTGCTGGACTGACGGCGGTGTGTCTGTGATGTTCAGGTGCTGGATGTCCTGTGTTCTCTGTGTGTGTGTCACGGTGTGGCCGTTCGCTCCAATCAGCACCTAATCTGTGATAACCTGCTGCCTGGCAGAGACCTGCTGCTGCAGACGCGACTCGTCAATCACGTCAGCAGGTAGAACAGCATCGCCATCACTCCCTGTGATCACTTCCTGTCACCTCACACTCTCTCAGTGCATCTCTCTGTGTCGCTCGTTCAGCATGAGGCCCAACATCTTCCTGGGCGTGAGTGAAGGCTCCGCCCAGTACAGGAAGTGGTATTATGAGCTGATCGTGGACCACGTGGAGGCGTTCGTGACGGCCGAAGCCACTCACCTGCGGGTGGGCTGGGCCTCGACACAGGGCTACGGGCCGTATCCGGGCGGAGGAGAGGGCTGGGGCGGGAACGGCGTCGGGGACGACCTCTACTCATACGGCTTTGATGGACTACACCTGTGGGCAGGTAACAACAGAGATTATTAATTGCTGTGATGCAGTGCTCATGTGCGGGCGAACTATTTAAAGCAATAGATCACCCAAAAAAATGGAAATGCACTCATTCTGAGGCCATCTAAGATGAGTTTGTTTCTTCATCATATTTGTAGAAATGTACCACTGCAGTCCATCAATTAATGTCTTGAGAAGACAAGAGAAACAAATCCATCATTAAGAGTCTATAATCCATAATAACGCTTCCTCCAGTGAAAAAGTGTTCTGGTCTGAATCAGGAGAGAAATCTGCACAGATCAAGCAGCGTTTAAACAGCTCTAAACAAATATGTGGCTGGATTTTGATGTGAGAGACAACAGGAGATGGACTTTTTCACTGGAGGAAGCATTATTATGGATTATTGTGATCCACTGGTGAGCAACTGATGTAATGCTAAATTTCACTAAATCAAAAACAAACTCCTCTGCATCTTGCAAGGCCTGTTGGATGGTTAAGGTTATGGTTTATTTACAGTATATAAAAACAAAAGTCTACAGAATGTCCCTATTTAGAGAGCTGAGTGTGTGTGTGTGTGTGTGTGTGTGTGTTCTGATGTGAGATATCTGCTGATGGTAGTGAAAACATCACTCATATAACAGCACATGTCAGCAGTTTTAAAGAGCCGTAGGCCATGTGACCGTAACGTGCGCTGTGATTGGCAGGTTGCGTGGCGCGTTCGGTCAGCTCGCCCAATCAGCACGTGCTGCGGGCTGAGGATGTGGTCAGCTGCTGTCTGGATCTCAGCGCTCCCAGCATCTCCTTCCGCATCAACGGCCAGCCGGTCCAGGGAATGTTTGAGAACTTCAACTCAGACGGACTCTTCTTCCCCGTCGTGTCCTTCTCCTCTGGAGTCAAGTGAGTCTCATCGTCTCCAGAGACACCCCCTGTCTGCCATTGGTCAGTCTGACAGATAACTCACATGAACGGCTGAGTCAGAACTGCTCAATGTCATCATCATCATCGTATATGGATGATGTGATATCACCTGTAAATTATAACCTGCTCTGATTGGGGAAAAACTCTCGTCCTCCTCAGAGTGCGCTTCCTGTTGGGCGGTCGTCATGGAGAGTTCAAGTTCCTGCCTCCATCTGGTTACGCTCCATGTTTTGAAGCCGTTTTACCACGAGAGAAGCTGCGTGTGGAGCACAGTCAGGAATACAAACATGATCATGGGAGAACACGCGACCTCCTGGGACCCACAGTCACACTGTCACAGGCGGCCTTCACTCCAACACCGGTGGACACCAGTCAGGTACATCTACCTGTACACACACCTGTACACACATCTGAACACACACCAGTCAGGTACACACACCTGAACACAC